CGATGGGTGTGTAAATCTTTGTGTCCCTTTCTCTGAGCACATTCGGTGCCCATTCTTCTCACCCTTGGACAATACTTGCCTTACAATTCTTTCTTGGAAGTGTGAATTCTGTCATTTCTCCACACTCTTGCCCAACTTGTGCATTTCAGTTTGCAGTATGAATTCTCTCTCTCTGTGTGTAACATTTTGCTGTTTAATTGCCTCTTATCTGATCCCTGATAAAGTTGGATATTTTTTTAAGAATATATTTATTGGCCATTTATAGTTCCTGCTGTAGTTTGCCTGATTATAGTCTTTCTCCATTTTTCTTCTGAAATGCTTGTCTTTTAAAAGGTTGAATTTTAAGAAAAACTTTATCCAGATAACTTAAGGAAGAAAAGCCTTCACAGGTGATGGACATCTTAGTGAGGAGGGAAAGTGCATGTGAAGGGAGTGCGCTGAGGGACACTGATCTCCTGCCCCTGTTCCTCCATCTCCTCCTCCTTCCTTGCCCAGCGCTGGAACGCAAATGAATGGGCCTGTCGTTTTACGCCTTGCCACTAGGCGGTGCTCTTCTCCCCCTCTGCTCTAGCTGTAGGATGCATACATTGAATGCTGCATCAGCAATAGCCACCAAAGTGCCTCTTAAGGAAATCATGAAATTTGCAGGCAAATGGTGGGATCTAGACAAGATCATCCTGAGTGAAATATCCCAGAAGGAGAAAGACACACATGGTATACACTCACTTATATAAACCTATAAGATATGATAAACATACTGAAATCTATACACTAAAGAAGATAAACAAGAAAAAAGACCCGGGGTACGATGATCATTCCTCACTTAGAAAGACAAATGGGATGGACATTGGAAATAGGAGAAAACAAGTAACAGGACAGGAGCCTACCACAGAGGGCCTCTGAAAAACTCCACCTAGCAGTGTATCAAAGCAGATACGGAGACTCATAACTAAACCTTGGGCAGAGTGCAGGGAATCATATGAAAGAAGGGGGAGTTAGTATGACTTGGAGAGGACAGGAGTTCCACAAGGTCCAAATATATCTGGACACAGGGGTCTTTTCTGAGACTGACACTCCACCAAAGACCATGTATGGATATAACCTAGGACCTCTGCTTGGATGTAGCCCGTGGTAGCTCAGTAACCAAGTGGGTACCCTAGTAAGGGGAACAGGGACTATTTCTGACATGAACTAATGTCAGGCTCTTTGACCTCCCCACCCCCCAAGGGAGGAGCAGCCCTGCTAGGCCACGGAGGAGGACTTTGCAGCCAGTCCAGAAGATACCTGATAAAACAGGGTCAGATGAAAGGTGAGGAGGTCCTCCCCAATCAGTGGACTTCGAAAGGGGCAGGGAGATGAGGGAGGGTGGGTGGGATTGGGAGGGGATGAGGGACTGGGCTACAGCTGGGATACAGAGTTAATAAAATGTAACTAATAATAAAAATAAAAATAAATTTTAAAAAAGTGAACCTGACTGGGAAAACAATGCTGCAAGCAGCTGCCCTACCTTCTGAATCTGAGAGACCCCAGCCGACCCTGCAGCTGGGCCTGCAGATCGTCTATCACTGCGGAAGTCTTTTCTAACTATAGCTGTGGGTCTGGCTCTCCTGGAGGCTCTCTCTGCCGCTGGGTGTTCCTGGGGCACCGGGTGCCATCTCCGGCCTCTCCCACGGAGACTGCCTGTCCTGTGAGGAGTCTCTGTCCCTTTGGTTCTTGGCTCATTACTCCTAGCCTTGGCTTGTCCATTCACGGGTCAGTGACAGGGCCACGTTGTGTCCAGCCCTCCCTTTCTGGGAGTCTTCCCATGCCTTGGCTTTCTTTCCTACGTGGAGAGAGCTCCTGTCTCTGTATTTGTCTGGTTGCCAATCTCCCACTAAGGCAGTGTGGTTCTCAATCTGTGTGTCGCCAATCCTTTGGGAGTCGCATATCAGATATCCTGCATATCAGATATTTATATTATGATACATAACAGTAGCAAAATCACAGTTATGAAGTATGGATGAAATAATTTTACGGTTGGGGGTCACCACAACATGAGGGTCTGTAGCCAAGACTTGAGAACCACTTAGAGTCTAAGGTGCTGTGTTCTGTCTGACAGGAAGCTTTTGACCTCAGTGCAGGCTAAAGATGACTCTCAGGCCTCACACACACACAGGCCCCATTCCCTACACAGGTGTCCTAAGCAGAAGGGACTGGCTATGGATCTCAGTGTTGACGTGGGATACCACATAGCCCAAGATCCTAGAATGTTGTCCTATTCATAGTAGGCATTCAGTAAATACTTTTTAAATGAAATAAGCTTCGCTTGAACACCCCAGTCACACTCACTTCTAGAATCTTTCCATTTCAGGCCCACATATAAAAGGGAAAAAAATTACAAGAACAACAATGTTGTCTGTCAACACAATAAGGAGTGTTTTCTCATCGATGGCAGAATATTTCAGCCATATAAAAGGTATTTTATTTCATGTAGTTGGGTTAAAAAATCACAGCAAGTATGCACAGCTATGCTTCAAGAAGGGCATCTGTAGCATTGGAAATGGACCCCGGGGCCTCACTGGGCTACGTCCTTAGTCCACTTTATCATAAGGTCTCATATTAAGTATATTTTATAGAAGGACACAAGGCACCATCTTTCTGGAGGTATACTGAACAATGGCCCATGGTGAGGGGGATGGGCTTCAGTCATTTGATGCTGCAACAGGCTGTGTTATCCCCAAATTCACATCGAGAAATGTGGAGTCAAGTTACAAAGTAAAATTCTCACCCTTACATAAGCTTTTTTTTTTTTTTAGAGACTCATTCATAAACGTAGGTAGATGTTTATCTGGGACAATGGTTCTCAAACTTCCTAATGCTGAGGCCCTTTAACCTCAAGTGGTGGCAACCCTCAGCCATAACACTGTTTTCGTTGCTGCTTCCTAACTGTGGTTTTGCTGCTGTTATGAAGAGCAATGTAAGTATCTGTGTTTTCTGAGGGTCTCAGGCGTCCCTGTGAAAGGGTTGTCGGGTCACAACTCACAGGCTGAGAGCAACTGATGGAGGACCAAGAGGTTGGCGGCTCAGGTTCAGGTTCAAAGGGATGCGGTTTCTTTGTGGATGATGAAAATGTTCTAGAATTTGATTGTGGAGATGGCAACGTAACTCTATGGGTATCCCAGCTCTGTCTGCGTGAAGACTTTAAGTGGGTGGATTGTATGGGACGTAAGAAGTGTCTCAATGCAACTGTCACTTTAAATGGACAAATGCCTTTGGACATTCACGGCTGCTTCTTTTCATGGCTACAGACTGTCTTGGAGTGGGCAGTGCTCGCTTGAGACAGCCTCCCTGCATGCCTGCTTGGGCTCCTGTCTTAACAGCTTCGGTGCCCACTGCACGGAGGCCGCTCTCTCTCCAAGGACTTGCCCAGCAGTGTGTGGGTTTCATGGAAGTGGTGCTGTGCAAGGATGAAAAGGGAACACTGGGGCCGGGAGGCTGCTGTCCAAAGTTCCTGTCCCAAAGCCAGGAGCAACAAAGCTGTGCCAGGTAGGGAGTCACTATTTCAGGTTTTTGGAGGGGTTTTCAGCCAAACTGGCATCAAGATTCCCAAGCTGCCAGGCCAAGAAAACAAGACACACACTCACTGTTCTCTGTTACATAAGAATTGACGCCCTCTGGGAGAGACGACATTGGTTCAGATACTCGAATGTATTTGAGAGAACGAAGGAATCTAAAGCCGAGAGCTTGGGGTGTAACAGAGAAAAGGCTCTGGTTCTGGGGACTCCTGTGAGCCCCGGTTTCTCAGAACCCTAGAATAGTTCTCTCTTGCTGAACTTGGTGTTAATATTACTTAATGTTAGCATAATGTAAATAACAAAAATAACAAGAATAGGATGGTTCAGGAGCATGTCTGATGTATTTCAAAACTTCACAAAATTGCTTTTATGGTTCTCCGATTTGGGGCCTTTAGGTCCCAAATTCTAGGAGGCATCGATGAAATAGAATGTTTACGGTGGAATCCTTGTCAAGAATACAATAAAGCGTATGCTCTACCTGGTCTGTGGAATGCATGGGTGGTTTGTACCCTCACAATTAATTACTGAAGACATTAGGGAAGCTCATCAGCCTCTAATCCTGACACTTCATTTCTGGTCAAAGAATGGTCCCCTCACCAGTGTGACTAAGGCTCATTCCCTTATCACCTTATTCTGTAGTTTATTCACCATAACAATGGGTTTGTTCAAGTTAGACGTCATACAGATCGGCTGCACATAGTTGCTACAAACCAGTGAGCTAAGATGTGTAGGTTGCTTAGGAAAGTGCGAATTCTGTAGAAGGGGAAAGGCTGGGCAGACAGGTGGCTGGGCTCTGCTGGGGAAGACAGGGATCTCGCTGCACGGCAGGAATGGTTGAAAATTGGGTGACAACAGTGACGCTGAAAACAGTAAGCCCTGGGAACTTGCTCCAAGAAGGGAAATGTGTCCCCAGACAGGAAATGCTCAGAGAAAGCCTCTGAGATAACAGTGAGCGCAGTGTACAATTCCCATCTCCCTTGCCAGAAAACTACTTGAACTGACGCAGGTGCTTTTCATCTTAGGGAGGTGAAGACAGAAGCCTGTGCAGAAACTCTGAGACAAGCAAGTGTCGGCTCTCTGACTTCCTGAGGGGAGTCTCTTGGTTTATTCTTAACGTTTAAAGACGTCTGGGTATGGGCCACTCATTATTTACAGAAATCAACAAAATCCAGTAACACAACAATGGCTAGATGAAGCCCGCTGTCTTTTTCAGCAGAGCTTTTGGAGGAAGGAAAGGTAATTTTTCACAGGCATGGCAGCAGCAGCTGTGTGCTGAACCTAGAAGACACAGTCTGCTGTGTCTCACCCTGGTGAAGGTCTCACACACCCCTAGCTGAAAGGGCAAGGCCTGGGCACTGCATACCCAGATTCCAAACGAGCTGTTCCACTAAGGATACAAACCGTGCCCTTCTCGTAGCTCACAGTGATACGTGCCGGCCAACTCACCCATCTCCCGGCTCCTGTGGCCCACAGGTTGGGGTCTGGGGCTGCTGGTGACAGATGTTGCCAATGGCACTGAGGTGGCTCTGTGGGTGGCCTCGGCTACCGGGAGAGTTAGAGCTTGTGTCAGGGTGACAGGCTGTGTGGTCGTCCCTGGGATGGATGGATTCTCATAGGCTTTGGTGGTCTCACCTGTGAGAAGACAGAACTGCGTTGGTACCCACAAAACAGCCTGAAGGACTTAGAGGCCCAGAAGTCAAATAACTGTTTACTGAACACCTCCGGCTGTTAGCAGAGACCCTTGCCAGCTGCAGTAGAGGGTCATATCTATGTCAACAGCCTGTACAATTTCAGAGCAAGAATCCAAGCAACAAACAAAGATGAAATGACACATTTAAGTTGCAGTTCAAGACTATTGCAAGGTAGAAAAGGCAGAGCACGAGTAGTGGTCAAATTGCTTTGCTGGGCACCACGGACAATGGTTTGTTCCCTTCCTTTCTAACCTGTTTTTCTCTCTCCCCCTCTTGCCCATTCTGTCACCTTGCCATCTTAACCGTACTGGGCCTGTGGTTACATGATGCTTGCAGGGCCCTCACTGTGGCTCGCTCCTACAGAACACACTTTGGTTTAGTTGATAGTCAGCTGACTTCTGGCCCCGATGTCTTGCAAATAATTGGGATGATTGGACTAACTCAGCGGCAAGCACCACCTAGGTTCCCCTAAATTATGAAGATTTAGATTGTGTCGCTGGGCTTTATCTCTTACAGTTTCTCGAGTGCATATACCGATTTAGGATCGTTTTACTTCCCATCGCCCTCTCTCACCAACGCCCCACCCTGAAACTCTCTTTCTACCCAATAAGTTCCCTCTTACTATGATGTCCTAGATTTGTTTCACTCAGTTTGGTTTTGGTTGCTTACCTGAGTCCGAGTGGGAGCTATTATTTTAAATTTTTATTTTTATTCTTGATTATGTCTCTCTCTCTGTGTGTGTGTGTGTGTGTGTTTTATGCATTTGGGTGTAGTGTCACTGAAGGCCACAAGAGGGAGTCAGATCCCTTGGAGCTGGAGTTCTGGGTGGTTATGAGTTGCCCTACGCTGGTACTGAGGATTGAACCCAGGTCCTCTTTGAGAGCTTCAAGCTCTTTTAACCACTGAGCCATCTCTTAGGCCTGAGTGGTAGGTCGTTTCCAGGAGTGTGGGGAACTTACACAAGGCTCCAGAGGTTCCTCAAGGAAGCCCAAGGGTAGAGTGAGCTCCTTGTATCAGCCAAGTTCATCTGGGTTGGTTTGTGGCTATCTTTAAGGTTAACAGCCTCAGGTTTTCCCTCTGTCCTATCTTCATATGGACTCCTCTTCCCAGGGTGTGAAGTAATTTCTCTCTACTTTCCTTTTATGAAGATGTGTGTGACTGTGTTAGGGCCCACCCAGATAATTCAGGAAAATATCCATTGAAAAGACCCTTAATCATATTAGAAATGTGCCATATAAGGGCATATTTGGGTTCCAGTGATAGGGATTTGAGTATCTTTTGGAAGATACTAAAAAAAAAAAAAAAGCCTACCATAGCATCCTGGCTTTAGCTTGTCACTGTGTTTAGGGTTGGCACATTTTAGACACATGGAAAAGCAGGCCAAGGGGTAGCACATGAGGTCAAAAGATGCCTCTTTCTCCATCCAACTTGCTCTTTGATGTCCTATGGCACTGTACCTGGTACAGCATCCTACGAGAACGGTGTCGGAACTACAGCCCTGCAGACAAACATTTGGTGAGATGTTCAGACCCATTGCTCAGCACTGGCATCCGCTTTCTTTCACACCCTGACTCTGTCACCTTCCAGGGGCTAATCACAGGCCAGACAAAAAGCAAACCTGGAATCGGGGTTCGATTCAGCCATCCCATCTGTTCTTGCGGGTAGGAAGCAGATTTCTCATTTTCATTTACCCCGTCGCTTGCCAACACTTGGCCATCTTTAAATCAGACAGAAGACTGGGCCAGACCATCATCAAAGAGCCATGGATGTCTGCTGGGCTTCAGCAGGCATCTGCACCACCCTGAGGCAGAGCCAAACCTGCCTGATGTATGACATTTCCTTTCCTTTAAAGGACAGCCATTCGTAATAAATCCTAGAGAAGCGTTTAATTTCTCAAGAGGGATCCCCTGCCTTCTGCTGGTGCTAGACGGCATTAGCGCCTCTTGAGGGAGATGCGGGCCCAGGTTTGGTCTGCTTCGTGCAGGGAGGAGCCGCTGAGTAGACCTGCTTGTAGATTTCAAAGACCAGGATCAGGATCCAATTATTCATTTTGAGAGACAGGTACAAACAACCAGGCAGTATACTTTTACTTTCAAACCATTAATCCAGCCGTAATGCTGCAAAGTAAAGCTTTTGCTTAGAACATCTTTCTGTCATAAACTTACTATAGTTCAAAAATAATAATTATCTTTTTCTTACCCCAGTGGCCAGATCCTAGGCTCCTGACTACCCCAGTCATCTTGGTTTGTGAATATTCAGTTTCAAGAGAGCTAGAGATTAAATGGCAGCCAATGAACCCATCGGTAGGACACAGCTGCTTTCAAATACTTGATGGATTTACTCAAGAGGCATCTATCGGGTCCTGTATTTTTGTTCATTCCCTGTCACAAATTAGAACCATCTTTACCATGAAGGAAGAGGATGCCACTTCTCCTAATTCGCTCAGGTCCTTACTGAATATCTCATTCTTCATTCGTTAGGAGAAATTCAACATAATAGCCAGTCAGACAGTTTCTGCAGGCCGTGTCAGATATATGGAGGTTTTGTTTCCTTTCAAAGGCTTTCGCAGGAATGCCTTGGGCTCTCAGTGCATGGTGCTCATGGGCCTGGCCAAGAACAGCTTCACCGGCAGCCTTCTCAGCAGCAGAAGGTGGAGCCCAGATTTCCCTATGTCTGGCAGATCCATGGGGCTGAGTACAGGGAGTTACTCATGCAGCCACCGGAAATTGCTCCCAGAGAGGCTGATTCGCCAGATCTCCTGATCTCCTATTGACCATGGAATTTAGATGTAAGAATTGCAGCCAAGGCTCTCTCTGAATTTGAGGCCAGCCTCGGCTACATACAGAATGAGTTCCAGGATAGTCAAGGCCACACAGAGAAGCCCTGTCTTGAAAAACCAAAACCAACAAACAAAAATAAGTTTGCCGCCTAGGCTCCTAGCCTCACCCTCTCCAGCCTTGCTTCTACAGCTATCTGGACCTGTCTCTTATGAATGGGGACAGTCATGCCTATGGGGCAGGGCTGCTGCCATAATTTGGGTGAAGAGCACAAGTCACCCATGCTGTGCTTGGCTCATTCGGGAATCCAACAAGGTAGGAGTTGACATCTCCCATGATGTTATGCCTCCTACTCTGCAGCTGACAGCAGTGTGCCTTATCGGTGGTGAAGAGGACAGAAGCCAAGATGCCCAGAGGTCTGAATGCTGGGAAAAGGGGGTGGGGGGAGTTCTTCTCACCACTAACTCATTCTGAGCCTCGGGGCTGTACACCAGGGCAGGAGACCTAATATGGGCTGGCACTTCGGAGGATTTTTACATAAGCATTCCGGGTGAAGATTGTCACAGTCCCGGAAGCAGACACAAGCTTTCCTGTTTTAAGCTAAGGAACAGACTTTTCAAGAGGTCAAGAAGCTTTCCTACTTACAGGGACAAATAGAAATAGAGACAAGGTTTGAACTCAAGGGTGGTTGACCCCAAACTCTTTGTCCACGAAAAGGGAAGAAAGCAGAAGACAGGGCCCTGGTCACTTGAGAATTCCTGAATGTATCTCAAGGTTTCTGGTGATGTAACCGAAGCTTACTGTCAGGAACAGTGACACAGCAGCTGTGGTGGGAAAGGGCAGTGAGGGCAGGAGATGCCTGGGACGTGAAATGTGAAATCTACAGCACTACCAGCCCCACATGAGCCCTCCAGGGCGGGGCTTAGCAAACAGCCAAGGGGAGGCAGGAGGGTGTTTTCCTGGTTCTCCCTCTCCATAGTAGATTTCCTCAGCCTCCTCTGGCCATGACACCTAGAATGTGCCTCCCCAGTTTTGTATTTTTTTTTTCCTTTTGTGCTTTTCTGCAAACCAGCACTCACCTGTTTTTATTTAGCTCAGAGTAAACGGAGGCAGGAACCAAGTAGCAGCTGCCTGCTTAATGGTTGTTAACTGCTTGGGAGAGACAGCCTTTGAATTTCAGGTAATATCTGTCCCCAGCGTGAGCCCGGCTAGACAAATCAAATACGTTCCAGGGTTCAAGTGAGACAATTTACCAATGAAGACAGTGGTTATGCTTGGGGGGGGGTGTCATTCTAGCCTGATTTATCTGTTAACTCAGTCTCCAAGAGCTTAGTAAGCATGTTATGCTGCAAGCTGAGACCTGAGCCGTAGCCCGCCCACCCTTTGTTTTGCCCAGTTTCTACAGGAACTTGATCACTTAGGAAGAGTAGCAATGAGGCTGCTCTTTCACAGTTCTCACTGGAATACTCTGTTTAAATCGGTAAGAACTCACCCCCGTGTGGGTGTGTCCTTTTAAAATTGGAACAGTACCCCAAGCATCCCTTTGTTATTGGCACATTCGTCATTTAGCTAGGTCTGGCCCAGAACGTACTCAGTACAAGGCGAGTGAATGGATGAATGAGGAACTGTGCCACGAAAGCTTGAGGTGGCGGTGGTAATGGGGACAGTTGACAGCAGTAATGGTTGTGCTTTAACAGTGTGGCTTTTGGGTACTTCATAGATTTAAATAGTAGGAGGGGAAAAGCCCCATGACCCACCTGTACTACTTTAAGGTGCTACATTTGAATAGAGACAAAGGTTTGGTGGGTGGGGACAATTCAGCTTGACCCTTGGGCTGGTGTGGATAAGGTGAGCTTTGGACAGGCCTCTGCTGCCTATGGCTTTGAAACCAAAGGGATTTCAAAATCCAGGATGGTATCTCTTGGATACTGTTCCTTTTCCTGCTCTCTTCTCACCACTGTTTCCTGATTTAGGATGATGCAACCCATTGGAGTCTCTAAGGAACCAGTTACAATCACACCCTTAGGCAAATTGCTAAACCCTTCTTCGGTCAGCTTCTTTATTTGAGGAAGGGACAATACTGGCATTCCCTGCCTGAGGCTGTTGTGGTTCAGAGGTCTGGCATACAGAGAGCTATGGTGACCAGACACTGTGTGGGGCCCTCCCCATTTTTCAGGCTTGGACTGAGGGCTGAAGCCGGAAGGATCTGAATACTACTTTCTAGACGAAGAAAGTCCACCCTGAGCTTACCATGTTTGTGACCGTTTCAGGTTAATCTTCACAGTCACCAGACCCAAGTCTCCCCAAGCAGGGAGTGGAAGGAAAGAAAAAAAGGGGGAGCTGTGAGGAGGTGTGCTTAGGTGAGAGTCCTTCCCTTTCCTTCCCGCTGTCTCTTCAAGCCTGAAGAATCTGTGGTGGAGGTGGCTCACCCATTTTCCGCTGGTCTTTCTGAGGAAGAACATCCACAGGCCGGCCGTGGACCCTCGGAGAGGCCTTTGCAGAGGGGAGTATTCTGGGAGGCTAGAGGTACTCTCCCCTCAGAGTAAAGAGGGAGAGGGTTTTGGCACACATACTCTGAAGTCAGGGTGTTCCCCGGCTATGGCTGGTCTCTCTACACTTGACATCACCGAGGTTACCAGTGTTAGCGCATGCATTCTTGGCCAAAGGCCCTCAACAGCTACAGGCTGAGTGAGATGGGAGAGAAGGTGACCTCACCTCACAGCAACTCAGGCCTCAGGGCAGTCCTGAGAGAAGCCCGTGGTTCTGAGTGCAGGGGCTGCTGGTCCCTGGGACGGTATGCCAGGAATGGAAGAAATGGGTGGGGACCTGACAGGAGTAGACTAAATAAGACAGAACCCAGTTATCTGCACACTCTAACTATCCAGAAATCGCTATTTGAGCAGAAGCAGCAGACCTGGACCGACTGTTAGGAAGCTTTGTGACTCCTTCCCTGTGTCCTCAGCAAAGGAAGGCAGGTCCTTAAGATCTGGTGATATCACAGAGCATCCATCACATCACTATGGGGAACGGGGACAGCTGTATTCTTTTGACTCAGTAAATATGTCACTGTCACAGTCACTTCAGTGCTTAAAAAGTCATTGAGGGTAGAGGTAAGGCGGGGTGAAAGACAGGCAATCTCCAGTGCATGCATGAAGCCTCAGAGGATGTGGCAGAGGTGTCTGGAGCCGGGCTGCCTGGGTTTGACTCTCGATGTTGATGCTCCTACTTTCTTGCTCTTTGCCACCGGAAATTTACTTCACTTCCCTGAACTGTGTTTTCTTCAAACTGTGTGTGCATTAGGACTAAGAAGGAGGCATATTGGTGATAATCCCGGTAAAAACTACCAGGGGAAGGTCTCGTCACAGTGCCTTGCGCAAGGCAAATATACAAGAAATGCTAGCTGCTGAAATTCCAGAGCCCTGTGCAGCCTACATCCTTGAGCGGAACGTGGACCAAATCTGCTCACACACCATGTTTCCGGAATGCCAAGTCCTACGAGCGTGAGGAGTCAAAGCACCTCCCTAGGAAAGACCATGGAGGGCACAGTTCTGGATTTAGCACAGGAACTCGGGAAGGGGAATTTCTTAGTCTCAGCTGTCCCCAAGGCTGGCATGGCTGAGCCCCCACTGATGTGAGCTTTGTCCTGATTCAGATCTTGCTGTTAGTGAATAAGCACAATCATTCTCCCTCCTTCCCTTTGCTTTATAGCCACACAGAGGCAGCCTTCTCCCTCTTAGTTGCCAGGAAACGTTTCTAGGCATAAGGTCATACATATCACCGTCTAAAGTAACAATACAACAAAATTCAAGGCCACCATCATTCTGCATAAAAATGACACTAATAGAGAGACAATAGCAAATTCTGGAAACAACAACAACACGACAACAAAATCCTTCACTGGCAAGCCACGGCTGTCTGATCGCATTGATTTCGGTGCCAGGTTTGTGGCATTGATTAGAGCATCATGAGGGTCAGCAGGGCCTGACTGGGTGAGATGTTAATTTCCACGCCATCTCCTAAAACCCAACATTGCGTGTTTATGAGCTCAGACAGCTTGGATGAAATAACACGTGAACACTTGCCTGCTTTGGCAGCTGGAGTTTTGGATGATGAATATGTAAGAGTTGATGGGTAGGTTGTACCCTTTTGGGGTTTACTTTCTGGAAAAAAAAAGAGAGAGAAATTTATTACTGGGGCTGGTTTCAAATCTCTCAGTGATGATAAGTGGATTATCTCTTTCCAGTTTATCTCTCTCGAGTTCAGTAACATCTGTCTCCCTCGCACTGAGTTGTTGCTTACAGTAAGAAAGTCAGGTGACATTTTGTTTTCTTGTGGATCATTTGTGTTATTAATAATAGAATGGAAGTAATAAAATCTCCATGACTTAGATGGTTGCTTAAAATTAGCAAATTCTTATTTTGCTCCTGAAGATAGGACATGTAAGCCGAGTGGTCCCCCCCATAAGGCTTTGAATGTTCAATTACAATAGTAGATGGATGCAAAGCGTTATCCACATTCTCCTTTCAGGTCTTGGACTGGCTGTCTGCGGATAGATGGCCACCTCTCACTCTCAGAAGCCCTCTGGGACCCATTTGAAATCCAGGGCATCATGAAAACTTGAAAGCAGCCGTATACAGGTCCTTGTCCTTGAAAACAGCCATTGGTGGTCACTTGGGGAAAGACTTTAGATGCAAGGCAAGGAGAAAGAGCAGTCTTCTCAGACAAGACCACAGTAGAAGCAGAAATAAGAAAGACAGGTGATCAGAGCTGGATCAGCAATGATCTGGCAGAGCAGTAAGTAGTTATCAAGCCCAGGATGAGTGAAATTGCCTGGGAGGGCAATTTCCTGTGAAGCCATCTGGTTTCCAAGAGATGCCTGACCAGAGATGGGCTTTTTTTTTTTTCTTTCTTTCTTTCTACAATTAAATTGAAAGTGCTAATGGAGCAGGCATGGTAGTGCACACCTGTAGTCCCAGCACTCTGGGAGGCAGATGCAGGTGGATCTCTGTGGGTTCTAGGCCAGCCTGGTCTATAAAGAGAATCCAGGACAACCACAGCTACATAGAGAAATCCTGTCTCTGAAGAGGAGGAGGAGGAGGAGGAAGAGAAGGAGGAGGAGGAGGAGGAGGAGGAGGAGGAGGAGGAGGAGGAGGAGGAGGAGGAGGAGAATTAATAAAGAAAAAAAAAAGACTATTATTTTTTTTTTCTCCATCAAGAAAATAGAACTAACGACATGACCTCTAAAAAGTTACAGGGATGTAATGAAAGAAAAAAAAGAAATTAAAAGGTGTTTGGAGCCGCATATGCCCACCAAGATTCGAATCCTTGTTCTGCCATTACCTGTAAGTTCCACTCAAAGGCAAACATGAGGCAAACACCCTGCATCACAGGTGCTTCTTATGTCATCGCACTAAAACCATCTGGGGAGCAGAATGGGTCATTTCCAAGTCCTCAGCTCTGTTGGGGCCTGCTCTGAGCAGACTCTGGTTGAGGCTGTTTGGACCCGATGTGGTCCTCCTGGCTGAGGGCCATACAGAGTTCACAGAGAGGGAGGCAGAGGTTTCCCTCTGCCTTTTTACTATTCTTTTCATGACTAAAATTGGGTAGTCCTTTGTGTTCCTGTTCAGAAGGTAAATGAGCATTGGCTCGGCTGCCTGAAATGTGAATCAAAGTACAGCCGGAAGCTATTAGGGCATCTGGCCTTTCCTCTCACAAGCCTGCACTGTCTTGTGGACCAAAACAACACACACCATCTCTCCCTGACAGTTCCCAGATCCCCAAAGGAGATTAATTAAAGAAGCATAGTGACCTATAAAAATTAGAAATAAAACCCCGGAGAAAGGTCATCCTGGCACCCGAGCCTTCTGAGGAAGGTGACATGACCTGGTTATGCTTGTTGGCTGTGAACTACTGAATCACAGGGTGCCCTTGGCTGCAACCTTCCAAGACAGTGCCCTTCCTAACATCTATTTGAAAGAGGTCTCCTACTCACTGTGTAAGTACATGTGCTTATTATCTTTGGCCACAATCGTTTTCTGTTCAATGTCACAAGCAGGATGAGGAGAGACGAAGTTGAAATTTATAGAGAATAAACTTATTAAACTGATTTTATCACAAAACCAAAAAGCAAACGACAACAACAAAAATCCCTAACACTCATTGTCTCCCCTTTGTAGGAATGAAGTTGTCCTTTAAGGTCCTAGTGTGATGCTTGGGTGGCAGGCTGAGTTGTAAGTTTGAAAACTATTGCTCAGGCGGGAACTCCTTTGTGGAAGCTGTAGTTCTCTCTACTCAGCCAGACTTTGCCATTGTCATTTGGTCTCTGCCATGAAAAATTCTTTGTTTAAAGGCTTTGTTACAACATACTACATGGTTGATACCTCCCATGCTCTGATAAAGAAACCAGGATCATTTGTATAACTTAACAGGCTCAGGGAAACAGGAATGGCCTGATTTGAAGAACATCCTAAAAGGTCTGTTTTTACTTTCGTCAGTTCTGATAGATGGAGGAAATAAGGGTTTGGGGCTTGGGATGCCTAATGGGGCTCAGAAAAATCATCCAGTCTGGACGGGCCATGGTATAACGAGACAGTTCTCTTTCCACAGGAGATCCATCCTCAGGATAATTCCATCACATTCAGTCTTGCTGGGAGGCCAGGCAGCTTTGAGCTGGAAACTAGTTTTAAATCCTATGGAACTTCTTTGGAGAAAATAGGAGACTGGGTGTCTTGAGCAATGGAAGGGAAAGGTAAGCACAGGACACCATCCTATGCTCAAAATCAAATGTGACGGAGTAAGCAACTTTCACTGGCCAGTCTCTGGAGACATGAAATTAAAAAAAACATATATAATGGTGATTTGTCAGGATGGTGGATATTATTATACATATTTTAATTTAAAGGGAAAAAAAACCCTGACTGAGAACATCACCTACATTAAAAAAAAAAAACAATGTAGGGAGAGAGGGTGGCTGAGCAGGGGTGGGGGTGGGGAGCCCTAGCCACTAATGTGGAAGGAATGACACAGTTAGGAAAAATTATAATTTTGCAGTTGCAGTTTGCCCTGTTTCTGTAGTATCCAAAATTTGTGATTCAACTAATCTGCAATCAAAAGACTTGGAAACAGTTTGTAGCTGTACCGAACCTGCATGTGGTTATTTTCTTGCTCTCATTTCCTAACAGTAGAGTCAAATAGCTCTCACATAGCATCCACATTGTTAGGTACGGAATGTATCTAGAGATGACACAGTGCTGTGAGAGATGTCCAGCTTACTGCTGAGTAAGCATTACTGGGAAATAAGTTACTTAAGCAATTTGAAGTATCACCCCGCTTGCTAACTAATTACGCACAGCTTGTCCCTGGAGAAGTCTATGCTACTAGCCAAGAAATCAAATTTAATATCAGCAACAAATTAAGGAAACTGGCAGTATAGCCTCTTGCCATGGCCATTGTACCAGGACACCAGGGAGATCTGACAATATAATCTATGCTTTTCAAAATATTTAAGTTGAGGGGCTGGAGTGACGACTCCGAGGTTAAGAGCACTTGCTGCTCTGGCAGAGGACCTGGGTTGACTTCCCAGCTGTCTATAAATCCAGTTCCAGGGGTTCTGATACCCTCTTCCGGCCTCCATGGGCACCAGGCACCCACATGGTGCACACACATACATGTAGGTGGGCAAAACACTCACATACATAAAATAAAAATAAATAAATATATCTTTAGAAATATATGTTGAGGTTGAAAACGATCACACGCTTTTCTTTCAGTGCTGACATCGCTCGTGCGAACATGGTGAACGTTCCTAAGACCCGCCGGACATTCTGCAAGAAATGTGGCAAGCACCAGCCCCACAAAGTGACACAGTACAAGAAGGGCAAGGATTCTTTGTATGCCCAGGGGAAGCGGCGTTATGACAGGAAACAGAGTGGCTATGGTGGGCAGACTAAGCCTATTTTCCGCAAAAAGGCTAAAACTACAAAAAAGATTGTGCTGAGACTTGAGTGTGTTGAGCCCAACTGCAGATCGAAGAGAATGCTGGCTATTAAGAGATGCAAGCATTTTGAACTGGGTGGCGATAGAAGAGAAAGGGCCAAGTGATCCAGTTCTAAGGTGATTCGGTTATGAAGACAATAAGATCATAAGCCTTTGTTCACCTCACTTGATTGCAGTTGGTCTTTTGCGGGGGAATAAACTAAAGTTTGTGCTTGAAAAAAAAAAAAAAAACAATCACACACACACACAAAACAGTTGGGCCCATTTTTGGTCCAACTGTAGGACATACCAGTAGACAACTGGCCTAGACTCTATAGATGTCATCATCATTCCCAATGTCAAGATGTGATGTGGTGGGGGATTTAAAGGAGACTGAAGCCGAATGACAACTAAATGCTAGGCATAATCTCTGATCATGTTACAGATCCAAGAAAGGATAAACTATTATGAGGAATGTTTTGGAGACGTGAGTAAGAAGTCCTTATCAGGCAGCATTGTGTCAGTGTTAGTTTCGGACTCGGGAAAATATTTGTGTATGTAAAGAGACATGGGGAAACACTTGGAGATGAAATGTTGGGGATGCTTGCAGAGTGTTCCAGCTAAAGTGTCTTAAATGAAAGAAGCAGGACCAAATATGAACACGTCAGGACTCTGGGTGAGAGGAAGATGGGTATCCATTGTGCTATCTTTTAAGCTTTCTGTAAGCTTAAATATTTTCAAAATAAAAGACTGGGTTGGAGAAATAAACAGAAATGGGAGAAGCAGGGTTACAATGGCTCTGAGAGAGCTGGCTACCTTTTCATTGTGAAACTACACTGCCGTGGTCATTGGCTCGCTCGCATTATCTTTTTCGAGAGGGAGAGAGAATAAAAATTATTACTTATAAGGATTCCACGGAGCTAGGAAGTTGAGCTGACTCAGAAGTAAAGCAATTAATTGAACAAAAATTCTAGATAATCTAAAATAAAATTGTGGCTCAGCCTCTCTCTAAGCCTGTGCTGCCGTCTACCCATCTCCTAGAGAGCCCAAGGGAAAATGTTCTAGATACAGGGTGCATTAGGCCCACCTGAAGGACCAGTTTTCAACAATCCCAACTTGTTAAACGCAATTCACTTTTCTCAGAGTTTGACTGAACTTGCAGACAACTGTGATACAGTTAAAATGAGAAACTGATGCATTTAGTATTTCCAGATTCTACTTTGGAGTGATCTGCCGAGTAATTATAATCTAGTATTTCTTAATTCTAGTTTTTGGAATCAATGCTTCATGTATTTCTGAAAAGAGGTGGCACATAGGCAAAAGGTAACAGCGACAGAAAGAGCACAGTTCATCCCAGCGTCGCCTCGGGCGCTTGCGCTCAGCAGTGTGTTCAGGGTTACCTAAGATGATGAAGGATTCTCTCCATCTGGGTAGGGACAGGGACTGAACGCCATTTGAGTAACTTCCTTTGTAACCAGACTGCCCAGCAACTTTCCGGACGAGTATTTTCCCTCCTGAATTATCCAGCACACCACTACAAAAAAGAAACAAAAAACAAATTCACACACAAGGAAAGTGTAGACATATTGCTTGACCATAACACAGTCTGTCTTTACTCAGACACATGAAAGCAGTGAGATTGAGGGAAAGTTGGCTTTAGCTTGCAGCCTGATCCCCAAGAATGGTGTTTCCGCTGAGCGTGGTGGCCCATACGTTTAATTCCAGCACTCAGGAGGCAGAGCCAGGTGGACCTCTGGGAGTTTGAGGCCAGCCTAGTCTATAGAGCTAGTTCCAGGACAGCAAGGGATATACAGAGAAACCCTGTCTCAAAAAACCAAAACCAAAACCAACCCACCCACCCCCAAATGGTGTTTCCACCACTGGACTTGGCCCCTGACCTCCAGGTCAAATGTCCCTGTCTTCTTGCATGATCTGTTGTTATGTCACCCAGGAATTCTATTGATTCTCATAGCTCAATTTTCTAGTTCTCTAGCTCTCCTATTCCTACTCTTTTCTTGTGTATTTTTGGTCTCCTTTTAAAAAATTATTATTTTTTTTAAAGACAGGGTCTTACTATGTAGATCTTGCTGACCCAGAACTCACTATGTAGAGCATGTTGGCCTCAAACTCACAGGAAATTTGCCTGCCTGTTTCCTGAGTGCTGAGATTAAAGGTATGTGCTGCCATGCCTCACCCTTGCCCCCCTTCTTCTGCTGGGTGTGGCCCTGGAGTGCTGCTTCCAGAAGGAGAACTGAGAACAGCATCACAGGTCCCAGGTCTCAGGGGTGGCTAGAGTGCTTTCAGGCAGGCCTGTGTGCTAGACCCAGGTGGGGAAAGAAGTGTTACAATTAGGTCTTTTAGAATGAGATTGCTGTGGAAGTGGAAGCTCCGTCATTCCAGAGGTTATGGCGATATCAAAGTGCTACCGCTCCTTGGTTAAGCTGCTGTGCTGAGCAGAGCAGAGGCCAGGAACCCATGGTCTGGGGAAATGCAGGTCAATGGCTGAAGAGGGAGTGCTGCATGGCAGTGAATGGTGAAGCCTACTGCACCAGCAGCATGTGGCTGGCCAACGGGCAGCCAAGCCCCCATTGACAGCTGCTTTCTTTCGGGCAGCCAAGGTTGGTTATCCAGCACGGATTCTATCTGCAGAATAAATGAGGGAGGGCGTGCTTTTATTTCCTGTGAAATCAAGGGCAGTATAAAGCTTGGGCCAGTGTGTGTGTGAGGAGGGGGAGGGGGTTCCGAAGGTGAATGTGTTTGATTTGTCGGGGTCAGGGGTGCCAGGGATACTTAATCTACATGTGCCAAAACAGTCCTACCATAAGAGGGGAAAAGCAGTACTTAATTATCCTATGGGTGGGGCAAGAGCTCCAGGTAAAGTCAAAGGTCATTTGGGAAGTCAAGACACCAAGGCATCTTATTAGCATAGGGTATCTCCGGGAATCCCTTGCCTATCAGGAAAGGGTCAGGCCCAGGATCTTTCTCTGAGAGCTACATGACATTCCTTACATTTAACCTGCTGAGAAAAGGGAGTCCACCATCTTTGTCTGATCTTGAGGTTATCCGGAAATGTCAGACTTCAACCTCATACAATAGAGTCCCACACCTCTTTTCTTCCTTTATTCTTCCACCCAACCCCCAGAGTTTGTGTGTGTGTGTGTGTGTGTGTGTGTGTGTGTGTGTGTCTAGCCTTGGCTGTCCTGGACTCATTTTGTAGACCAGGCTGGCCTCAAACTCACAGAGATCTGCCTACCTCTGCCTCTGCTGGGATTACAGGAGTATACCACCATGCCAGGCTTCCTTTCTGTCTTTTGAGACAAGGTTTCTCTACGTATCCCAGGCTAGCCTCAAAGCTCACCATGTAGACCAAGCTAGTCTTGAATTCCCAGTCCTCTGGCCTCACTCTCTATGCCTGGCTTACTAATGATTCTTCCTTTCTCTTGTTGCTCTCAGCATGTTGCTCAGGTTGACCTTAGACTCCCGAACTCAAGAAATTCACCTGTCTCAACCTCCTGAGTACCTAGGACTATGACATTTGCCACTACACCAAGCTTCCCACTGATTCTTTGAAGTAAAAACTTTGTGCCTGAAAATGTCTAATTTGGCTCTGGGATGTCACAGAGTGAACTCAGTCACTTGAAGGAGCAGGATAAGGTTATTAAAAGTATGTGGTTCTTTGATTTACAACTAGAGAGGGAAAATGCACAGCTCAGTTAAACACATTTGAAAAGAATCCCCAGGGCCAAGGGTTGTAGCGCAGTGGTAGGGAGCTTGCCTGGCCTGTGTGATGCCCTTGGCTCCAGTCTCAGCACTGAGAAAAGAGGAAAAGGAGATGGAAGAGGGAGAAGAGGAAAAGGAGGAGGAGGAAGAGGAAAAGGAGGAGGAGGAAGGGGAAAAGGAGGAGGAGGAGGTAGGGGAAAAGGAGGAGGAGGAAAAGGAGGAGACGGGGAAAAGGAAAGGATCCCCTGAAGGCTGATTTGTAGGGGCCGACATACCCATCTGTTAGGCAAGAGGCCCACCCCACGTCCTAAATAGCACCTTTACAGTATTGTTACTTTTTCCTGGAGTCAACCATGACTCCTCTGAGCATTTGTAATTTATGGCATAAGAGTCAAAAAAAGGTAGAAGGATTTGTTCCCATCAACACGGACCCTTCCTTCCCCAGGGATGAGGTTGCCATTTCCTGCCCTCCCAACTTCTCTGTGACTCAGCAACTTTCAACACTCAAATTCCCAATAGCCACGAAGAAGGTGACAGTAGCACGTGACATGTAAAATGCTTATCGGCTTTAAAATCATCTCACACAAGTCTCACTGTGTCCTCCCCGCAAACTTGAGAGTTACGGGGTGGAGGAAATGTTGCTGTCCCCTGCTCCACAGAAACAGCCTGCTCCTGTGAGCGAGTCACTCAAGACTTTGCAACTGGTGTGTTCAGTAGGTATTTGCATGCATGTGGCTCTCACCAATCTTACACCCTGGGTTTCTCAATGCTGGTTGTGGTACTTAGGGTTCACAAGCACGCGAGCGCATGCACACACACACACGCACACACCCTCTTCCAATTTCTTGTCACTCTCTGTAGTCTTTGCTGCTCCACCATGGGATCTGGCTAGCCTCTGTTTGCTAAGCAACCTCACCACCCACTCCCGTGGCTTGCATTGTTCTGCTGCTTTCCCTGGACCCCTCTACCGCCCATGTCCTTCCTCACAGAGAGCCTGACGCCATCTTGCTTTTGCAGCCCTCTTAGGCTTTTGTTCTCATAACATACTTGGTGATTTACTGTCTTGCACTACCTCTAAAGATTTATGAATTAATTTTGTTTCTTAAATAAATAAAAAAATATTTTAAAAAACAAATTTAAAAAAATTGTTTTTATGTGTCTAGGTATTTTGCCTGCGTGCATAGATGTGTATCACACGTGTGCCTGGTGCCCACTGAGGCCAGAAGAGGGCATCAGATCCCCTGGAACTGGAGTTATAGATGTTTGTGAGCCCCTTTGTAGGTGCTGGAAAACAAACCTGGGTCCTTTGGAAGAGCAAGCAGTGTTTTTAACTAGTGAGTCGTCTCTATAGTCCCTGAAGAAATTCCTATGGAAAGGCTAACATTTTATTTTTCTGGGTAAGGACACTTATCACTGGTTTGGGGCAGGATGCTCTTATATCAGCTTTTGGAAAACAGTTGTTATGCTTTCAGGATTTCATGAGCCAGTTGACTTGACATCAGAGATTTGATGTCAAACCTGTCTCCTTTCTGCCACCTTTGTGGAGAATTTATCAGTTGATCTCAGCTCTGCACAAACATTTATCTTCTACCTGACTCTGGTGCCTGGGGTCTGAGATAAGCTTAGGGCCAGTTCTCCAGTTCAGGGAGGGAGAGTAAGCCACTGAGCCAACTGTTGAATGGCGGCTGTTCTGAGGATGGGCACACATTCAGAATCTTCAGGAAGAGGGCCTTACACAGAGATGCTCATTGGTCCATCTTAGGAAGAGCTCTCTTTTTTTGACCAAGTGCTTGCTTCTCTGCCTTTACAAACATGGGTTAATACCTGCTAGATGGCTTAATGGGTAAAAGTGCTTGTCACCTGTGAGCAACTTTTTCCTTTCTTTTCTTTCTTTCTCTTCTCCTTTCTTTCTTCCTTCCTTCCTTCCTTCCTTCCTTCCTTCCTTTCTTTCTTTCTTTCTTCAAAGGTAGTTTGATGAAAGGACACAAGGACTCTTCCTTGTGTCCTTCCCTGTCCCCTGCACATAGATTAACCAATAAAGTCAGATTGTGAACTCAAGTTTCACAAGAGGGATGAGATGCAGTCACAACCCATATCAGGAATAAAATACTGGAACCATGTTGGCCCCAGTGTGTAACTAGCTCAAGTTGGGTCCTGGTACATCTTTTTTACAGAAAGAATTGCTTTTCTTTGATGCCTTTGCTTTGTTTGTGTGTTCCTTTGCATGGTACTGATGTTATTTCTGACACCAAGCCCAATGATCTGAGAGAGACCAGAACCCATGTAAGAAAAAGCTGCGTGAAGTGGTATGCATTTGTAATAAGGACTTCTACTGAGAGGTGGGAGGCAGATTGTAGAGTCACCTTCAAAGTAGCTCATGGGACAGGTAGCCTAAAGTATGCAGGATGGCAGGACCAGAGAGACCCTGTCTCAGTCAGAATGAAGAACAGAACTCTCTAAAATTGTCTTCTGGGCTCGACCCACAGGTCAGGGCATATGTGCACCTCCCCAACAAATAAATAAATACTAAACAAACAAACAAAAAGACAAATAAACAAATGACATGGCATATGTGTACCTCCTCATAAACAAGCAAGCAAACAACCAAACAAACGGTCTGTTTACGATGAGACTGAATCCATTTATGAGACCTCAATGTGACAAATATCCCTTTGTTTTGAAACAATAGAATAAATGGCCTGTGAGAAAACATTACACACGCGATAGGGTGTGTGAATATTAATTCCTTTATTTCAAATTAACTTGAGGTTTTGAACCCAAGCCTATTCTTTCTCATCTCCTGTTCTGAGGGTGGGAGACCCTGCCAGGGTGGGGACTAAGGTCTTCTCTTCATGCTATCTCTCAAATCCTGCCTCCCTAAAAAACAGATTTTGTCTGTGGAAAATAAAGCTAAGAGCATCCCAGATTCCTGTTTGTCCCTTAAGACCTCTATTCATCCTCTCGCTGGATAGTGATACCTCCTTCTGAATAGTTTCTACTCTCTCAGACATTGGGCTAAAGAAGCCACAGAGACCCTTGGGGGTTGCTCAAAAACAAGAAGTGAGCCTTGTGTTTTTTTTTTTTTTTTTTTTTCCTCATCTGTATTCTTTTCATTGACATCCCACTTTGCACACTGGGCTTGTAGAGCCCTGTTTCTCTGAACACACTTCTCAGTTCTCTCTTTAGGCATGTGTTCATTCTTCTTAAAGCCTTTTCTGGTCATGACTCTTGCAGAGTAGACATACACTTCCCTCACTGAGTAGTACTGGCCCCTAGTTCTTGTGTAAATGTGTGACCTCTGGGCTCTGGGCTAGAAGTCAGGGGCATGGTGGAGCCCTGATCTGCACTGGTCAATTAATAGCAATTACATTAACTTTGCTGTGCCTAAATTCCTTTTCTGACAGATGGAAATGCTAGCAGCAGTGTTGAAGTGAAGGATTGAAATGAAGCCGGAAGGAAAGAATCAGAGCATCAAAAGGTTACTTGTCATTTAGATGATGTCTTTGGTGAGGTCAAACTCACTCTTGTGGTTCTGTTCTCCTTTAAAAAAAAACAATAAATGTTTATAGTCCTGTTCCACCTTATTCCCTCACATCATATGGGCAAAAGAGAAGAAGTCTAATGTAGCCTACTGGTAATTCTTACACTGTATCTTTTTCACAATGTTTCATTGTGGACAGTTGTTTCAGAGCGAAATAATTAGCTACCTTCAAAGGAGTTTTAATACCATCTCCTCTCATTTGACAGAACAACCCATTTACTTTTTGTGCAAATATAGACAAGGAAAAAGATACAAGAAACCCAAGTGATTCAGACACTATCTAGCATTGAGACCCTGCATCCAAGGCTGTACCAGCAGCAGTTACGACTAGGCATATTGTAGCTGGATCTGGGTTACAGTCTAACTCCGATGCGTGACAATGTAGCTTTAGAAGAACTATTCAGACTACATTTATCTGTTGTGTTACTGTGTGTTTGTTCCTTTGCTTTTGTTTTTGAAGACAAGGATTCATGTAGCTCAGCCTGGCCTTGGATGCAATAGACAATAACCTGGGATTCCCGATTCTCCTGCCTCCCAAATGCTGGATTATAGGTTTCCACAACTACAGCTGGCCGTGTCTTTACCTTGAAGATGTGCCTAACAGTAGTTACAAATCCTTCAAAAGGGAACTGTTGTGGTGGGAAGTACGGTAGCTGGACAAAGAAAGTATTTGTTATATGCATGTTAACTTGATAACCAAAGACACACATTTCTCTGTGCTTGGCTCCCAGACTACAGAAAAGAGGACTGAGTATTCAGGTCACTTTGACTTTCTCGTTTAAGCTGTGACTGAGTTCAAAGCATGCCATGCCTCTTGTCATCCTCCCCCAACCCCAAAGTTATAGCTGGACGAAAGGTACCACCTGTCACCCTTTTCTGTTCATCACCATAGCTCTGATACCCACTCCTAACTCCTGGCCATTGCTAACATTTCCTTGCACAGCATAGGTAGAAAAAAAAGGATCAAGAACTATATTTTCTTTGCTATGGTTATGAAAGAATACAAGGGGGAAGAATGCTAAGGTTCCTGTTTGCTTCCGTAACTCATGTCTTTTATCTGTGTTTAGTTCTTCCTCAAACTCTAATATATGGTCCTTCTTGTATTCTTGTGCTGGGCTCACCTGCCCATATATATTATTGGTTTGATTCAGAATATGATGTTTCATTTTTAGTGGTGGATATGTGCATAAAAATATATTCACTAGTGTAAGTAAGAATCTGATACAAAGCTCCGCAGCTTCCATTCCAAATGCCTGTTCAAGCTGTAGAGAAGTAGAGAGGACTTTTTCTTTCTTTCTTTCTTTTTTTAGGTCAGCATTTTTTATTATTTTTTATTAATTACACTTTATTCACTTTGTATCCCCCCATAAAACCCTCACTTCTTCCCTCCTAATCCCACCTTCCCTCCCCCTTCTTCATGCATGCCCCTCCCCCAGTCCACTGATAGGGGAGGTCCTCCTCTCCTTCCTGCTGATCTTAGTCTATCAGATCTCATTAGGAGTGGCTGCATTGTCATCTTCTGTGGCCTGGTAAGGCTGCTCCCCCCTTAGGGGGAGGTGATCAAAGAGCAGGCCAATCAGTTCATGTCAGAGGCAGTCCCTCTTCCTGCATGGAATCTTATGAAAGAAGTGGGAAATAGTAAGATCTGGAGAGGACAGGAACTCCACAAGGAGAGCAACAGAACCAGAAAATTTGAACACAGGGGTCTTTCCAGAGACTTATTCTCCAACCAAGGACCACTCATGGAGATAACCTAGAACCCCTGCACAGATGTAGCCCATGGCAGTTCAGTGTCCAAGTGGGTTCCATAGTAATGGGAAGAGGGACTGCCTTTGACATAAACTGAGTGGAGAGGACTTTTAAGTTGTGGGGTCTGGTTAATTTTGGTGTGTGATTTTGTTTTTATTTGCAATATTCTTAAATAATAAACTTAAAATTGAAAAAAGGCAGGGGAATAAGTCAGTCGGTTTTTGTCAGAGTGCCATGAAAAGAGACACAGGGTCACGCATGACTTCTGGGACAAACTTGCAAATGGAATGCAGGAGGCTCAACTAGGTTTGGACACTACATTTCTGCCTGCTAATTATAGCAACCCCGCAGCAGAGGCTCCCCAGCAGTACTTTGATCACTGGCTGCTGAGCAGGTCAGAGCCGCCCACCTGTGAATCGCGGCGCCACACACGCTGGAGTAAGACGCGTAGACGCCGCTGCCGTAAACGTGGTGTTTGGGGTCTTGGCATCCTGCTGGACACTTCACCATGAACTCAGGATTGATGATCTTCCCAGCTTTGACATCACAGTTGATCTGAGGCACAGCTGGGAATACAAAATGAGGTCAAAATTAGCCCCTAGTAGTGTCAGCTTATATCTGAGGTGACATTGTTAGGTCGTAGTATTCATTTACTTAATTTGTGAACGTCTGAATCGGAACTGTCCCTGCATCCCATCCATATAACGAGGGCAAAGAAATAGCAAGGGCGTTCCTCGGACCAGAAGAACAATGACATCCATTACATTTAACATGCTGAAGGAAAAAAAAAAAACATAAAGGCTGACTTCTGTTCTTGTTTGGACAATTAATTAATTTAAAATAATTCTGAGAAAAGATTCACCTCCAGTGATCAAAATGTTATCTGGAATCAACGGAAGGGGGGGAATTGCTGGTTTTCCAGATGCTCTGTGATTATCACAGGAAAAGAAAACTTTTAAAGGAAGCAGGGAAAACAAGCAAGGGGAGTCAGAGATCACTGAGGTAGGGTGGCCTTCTGGGCAGAGAAGGGGGAGAAGTTGCTAGGCTGGGCCAGGCTCAGGGGGACTGAGCAGTCGTGTTCTGTGTGGGATAAGACACAGAAGGTCTATGGACAGGGGAAATTATATTCAAAGTGACCTTTTTGGTGTGGTCCTAAGAGGATTTCTTTGGCCTAGATGTCTTTTGCCTGTACACTTGAAAAGATCGGTACTCCCCATTGGGCATCCGGGAGAGTGTGTCAGTCTTGTCTCCTGCCTCTTTCTCACAGTATAGGAAGGCCTTCTGGAGCGGAAAGCTTGCCCGAGGACAACATGAAAACAGATTTGGCTGGCAATGTCTGAAAAGGAGTTGGATGCTTCCTCTCTATAAAGCTTTTCCTCCCTCAAAAAGAGAAAGGTCCCCCAAGTCACAGATCCCTAACCCACGGGTTGCACAGTTCTATGAATTCAAGGCCAGCCTGGTTTACACTGTGAGATCTTTTCTCAAAAAAACCAAAAGAGAGAAAAAACACGAAGTTGTGTGGTGGTGGGGAAAATACGATAAAATTTTAATTTTATTTATGTGTGCATGCATGAGATTACATGTCTGTGTACGTGTTTTCAGATCTGAGCAGGTCAGAAGAAGGTATCAGATCCCTTGCAGTGTGAACAGGTGAGTGTGAGCTGCTCAGTGTGAGTGCTGGGCACCAAACTCAGGTCCTCATGACAGAGTAGTGAGGGCTCTCCATTGCCAAAGCATTCCTCCAAGCTGCTGGACTACATAACACACGCAGCGCAGAGCTCTCAGTATGGGTGATTACAGACTTCACATGTCGGTCAACTCTGCAAAATATTGAATATTCTCTACAGTGTCAAATACTTAGATAAGATTTAATTCTTAAGGTGTAAAAAAGAAATAATATCCCTCTCATTAACATGCAAATTTGCTTCTGTCTTTAATAAATGCTGAAGTTATATGAATACCAAAGAACTTCCCTAAAATAATTTTTATGATTATTATAGTAAGCATATTACTTCTGTATATCCAAGTGGCATGAGCTTGCCTTAAAGATCTGTTGTGTTGGCCTGCTCCTTTAATCCTAGCACTCAGGAGGCAGAGCCATTCCGATCTTTATGACCAAACATGATTCTAAAACACAAACTCGTTCAGCCTGGCCATGCTCACATGGACGCTGGATAACACTAAATGGGAATCAGGATTGACAAAACAAAAAGTCATTTAGCTTCTTAGAATGCAGAATTCAGAGGCAAGGGGTCCTTTGTCTCTACAAGCAACTCTGCTGTGAGCTGTGATACCAGAGGGCTGAACTGGAAGGGTAAACTTTCCGTAGAGGTTAATCTGCCAAGAGCTTTCTAGGAATTGATGCTACCTGGGTAGGAAGGGGCTGTTCACAGGAAGCACGCCTCCGGTGGAGGTTTGCAAACAGAACCGTTGTAGGGGGGTTTCCATCCCGGGTGGGAGGTGGAGATTAAACTCCTCCCAGTGCTAAGAGCCGGTGATGGTGATTACACTCCGAGATCCAGGAGCTTTGCCAGGCCACCCACCCTCTGAATTACTGAGATGCTCACAGAGCTGTTAATGGTTTCCAGCTGTATCCAAAAGCGCACACGCTCCTCCCCGTCCCTCCGCCCTCCTTAACCCTAAGGTAACCGACCGAGCAGTTACATTTCATTCAAGCTGGAGAGAGAACGGAAGTTGCACAGCGGCTCTTTTCCCACACACCCTCCCACAAGCTCTGCCGCTCAGGGCGAGGCCAGCAGGGCACTCCTCCTGGGAGCCACGGTTGAGCCTGGTCACAGGCTTAAGCAATTTGTGGTCTACATTAAGAACGGGACCTCTGTGCTTAAAACATTTAGTTCCATCCTCCCCTCCAAAGCCACTTCTTTTTAACCTTTTGTTCTTTTAAACTCTGATACCCAAGGCTGTGCTTACTATTTTGAGTCTTGGAATATACATTTTAAAAAAAGGCAATTTGGGGACGCAAGATGCCAAGTTAGTCTCTCCTCACATTAGCTTGGGTCCCTGCGCGTACATGGGGTGCGCAACTCCCATTTCTACAGATTACCCCCAAGTAGATCTCCTCCCTTAGATAGGAAGGAAAGAGCAGACTTCGGGGCCTGAGTTATTTGAACTAGGAAATGGCAAACCCTGTGGACTGGGATTACATTTTGATGACACTTGGAAACTCTGAGATTTTGGATCTTCCGGAAGGCTAACCAAATCTCTTGGAAGGGACTAAACGAAGCCAAGTCTGGAAACTTTTTGAATGAGTACTCAGGGTGTATAAAGTAAGGCATGTTGCAGGATTTTTCATGAAATCTGTAGCTAGAAAGACAAATGGAAAGGGGGAGGGAGGGTGGGATTGGCAGGGGAGGAGCGAGGGAGCTACAGGGGGGATACAAAGTGAATAAACTGTAAATAATAAAAATAAAAATAAAAAAATGAGAAGAAAAGAAAGACAAATTGAAATGTCCCACAGGACTATTTTGCATCTTGCTAATCATTTTTTCCTTTGAGGAGGAAAAATAATTTTTTCCTCTCTTTCTCTCTCTCTTGCCTAGGAAGTATTTCAAACGCAGTAGCGTTGCCTGTTCCAAACCTGATTAGCGAAGTTGGTGGCTGAAGTCATTTTGTCCCGAAGGATGAAACAAATAAAGTGCAGATACTCACACACTTTTGAAAAAAACAAGGAGTGATGGCAAACGGTGGCTAAAGGTTAAATAGTTGTTAAATTTATACAGAAAATTAAGCCAGAGAAAGTGAGCTAATTAAATTTTGCAGAGTAATTGCCAAGATCATTAGAAAGTCTAGTCAATGTCCAGCTGGGGAGAAGCAAGCCATTTTGTATTTTTCTGACAGCAATTCTTTGTGTATATAAGAATAATGTTTTCTTTTCTTTTTTTTATTTCTTCATAGTATTCTTCTAGTTGCTTTCGAAGAGATTTGCTTTCTTGTAACTGTCAATGGGACAGATAAAAATGACTTATCTTTGTAATGTAAATGGGTTTTACCTTCACAACACGCTATTTACTTTTTTTTTTTTTTTACACTTTCTTGCTCTCAGCTCTGGAGTTTAATATGTGAAGTGGACTTCTTTAAAGGGAAAAAAAAATCAAAGGAGGCAGATAGGCAGGATCCTGCTCAGGTGTGAGGGAGCATCAGCCAGGGAGGAGAAGGCTGTCCCTGTGGTCAGGCCTTACCCCACCCCTGCACAAAAGCCCCTTTTTGCTGGGGGGTGAGGGGGAGCCAGGGAGTCCCAGGGCAGAAGCCACCACTGAGGCCCGGGGCCTCTGAAGGTGCTTCATTTGCGCCTTGGCCTTGCAGCTTGGGCCTGGCTGTACACTCCACTTTCTCCCCAGCTCCTTCAGATGGATCTTAAGGTTACCTTCCTTCCTATAGCCACCATCACTTCTATACCATAACGTTTCAGTGCCAGCTGAGAATTCCTTGCCAGAGGCCCTAGGAATCATCTGTGAGGAAAAGAGGACCTCGTGCACACTGAGTGGGCGGAGCTGTCAGGCTCCTTTTCTTTTCTTTTCTAATTAATTACTTCGATTTCCATCTTGGTCATAGGCCCCTCCCTCCTCTCCTTCCAGTCCCACCCTCCCTTCTGCATCCCCTCTGCCCTATTCCTCATCTAGTCCCACAGGACTGAGTTTCAGTTTCCTTTTCATCAGTGATTTTCAACCCTGCTAATGCAGTGACCCTTTAATTCAGTTCCTCATGTTGTGGTGACCCCAACCATAAAATTATTTTGTTGCTACTTCATAACTGTAAGTTTGCTACTGTCGTGACTCATAATAAAAATATATGATATGCAGGGCATCCCATATGTGACCCCCAAAGGGGTCGTGACCTACAGGTTGAGAACCACTGCTTTACATGGCTTCTGAGGCCAGTATATCATCTGTATTATCACAGATGTCCCTTTCTGGAACGGAAACCTGGGGGTCTAAGCCAGTATTTTAATGCATAATTACTGCCTTAGGCATACTGTGCACACCTGTAATCCCAGTACTCAGGAGGCGGAGAGAGGAAGATCACAAGTGAGAGAGCAGCCTAGGCTACATGGGAAGACCGTGTCTCAAAAGCAAAACAAAATCTTTACACAGAGAGAACTGTAAGTGTGGTGCTGTGCATGGGCCTCCTGCCTGAGCTAATGGTGGGTTTGGGCAGGCACTGTAGTACCCAATAAGCCAGGTATGCAACAGGCTAAACCAGACTGCATGGAGCTTCCTACTTCACTGTTCATCTTTTCCATGATCCCAGAAAAACCACATTACTTCTGGGATAAAATCCCTTATTAATTAGGGAAAGCCTTTGTAAGCTTGCTCTGTGGCTGCTAATGAGGAAGAATTACTACAACATAAAAGAGCTTATGCATGAAAAGTCTTAATATTAGGCTTCACTTTACTGGCCTGTGGTATTCGACTAGTGTAAAATTGTACGTTAAAGAAGATTACACAAAAAGTTATTAGTTTAATGAAATAAAAAGATCATCAGTTTGAAGACAAGCAGGTCCTTTTCTGCTCTGACCCACAATGAAGAGGTCATGCATATTCTTTCT